TTCCACCCTGGATAGCAAATAGAAATTTTTAAAATCATGTGCACCAAGACAACCTGATTAATCAGAAAGTTTGAAAACATGTGGCCTGGTATCTAGATAAAGAGCACTACCTTAATGCTTATCAAACGCTGGGAAATTTGAATGGGTTATATTTGACACTCTGTTGGCTGGTGGAAAAGGCAGAGCTCCTGTGCAATCCTGTCAGGCCACTAGACTGGGCCCTAGGTCTCTACCAGTTTGGAGCTAATGTTGGCATCTTCTGTTCCACTCATTCCAGTAAGAGGGAAAATAGCAGCAAAGAAGAAGAAGAAGAAGCTACAGAGCCACTCCTTCACCTGGCACTAAAATAATAGTAAGCTAGAAATCTGGCAAGCCTCCTGAGAAAGAGAACTCCCCAAATGGGGCTTAAGGATTAGAGGACTTTCTGCCAGGTCACAGAAGATCATGGAAGTGGATGGATGAGTGGATGTCTTCCTACAACTGAACTGCCCAAATACCAGGGTCTCATGGTGAAATGCTCTGTAGTGCCAGTCAGAAACATATGTGACAAACCACACAGGTCACAGAATCTGTGCCTGTGAGAGAGAAAGAGCTATCCTCTTTATAGTGGTGAACCAGCCTTAGTTCAGGAAAGGAAGACCTGCAGTGGGAAGCAGGTACCTATTTATTCTTGCAGAACCCAAACTCTGCAAGTATAAATCAGTATACATTGATACATATCCATGTGTCTTTGCATAATCTACAAATTCATGTATGAGTTTGTGGAAAGGGCACTGTTTCATTGATCTGGAAGGGCTTCAACTCTCCATGATGCCCATCCCCAAAGCACACCGTTAAGAATGCTACTCTATGCAACCAGAGAACCAGGACATTGCAGTGATGGACTCTCCACGTAAACAGCCCCGGGTGACTTGGGCAAACAAGCAAACAACAACCCACATACATTCCCCACAGTATCTTCCCTTCAGTTTCAGGATCATTTATACCCTGAGGGCAAACAGACCATATTCACCATGTTCAGAAGGAACCCCACCTTTTGGGAGGTTGAGCCAGCTCCTCAAGTCTAGGTGTGGCTACTGCGTGCTTTGCCGCGGCGGACACAGGCCATGCAGGAGAACGGTCGGGGGCACTCTCTGCAGGGAGCACTTTGGGTTTAGCCAGGTGTGCTACCCGCGGGCTTGCCACTGCTTGCTGGGCAGCCAGACTTACCTACAAAAGGAAGCACAAGCATTTGTTTCTGGACAACGCACACAGGATTAAATCCACTATATCTCCCAACAAACTGAAGAGACCATAAGGTTCATCACCAAGGCATTATAACATCTCTTCACTCACCTGAAAATTAAGGTAGTAGATGAAGTTTGTCACATATCAGTGTAACTGGGCCATATCAAGATATGCGGCAGTTGTTTAGATATGTGGCAACTGCCATATATCTAGAGATGGCCCAGTTACTTAGACATGTGGCAAACTTCATCTGCTACCTTAATTTTCATATCTGGCCCAGGCACTTAGGGGGTCCACTTCAACATCTAAAAATGGCAAACAGCATTTCCAGAAGCATCTGTGGAGCATGATTTGCCCTCTAAATATATCATCCTCTCCTGGGCCCTTTTCTAATTCAGAAAAGGCTGTCTTTTTCAAAAACAAGAAGCACCCATCCCTAGCTTTATTAAATAACTTTTCTAGCCAAAAACCTCAAAAGGGTTGAGAACCAGACACATATCTAAACTTTCTCTTGAAAAACTGAACCATGGTGTCTGTAATTAGAATACATGCTTCGTCAGGCTTCCCTTAAAAGCAACTGTTTGCACTGCACAGCCAGAGTTGGCCCTGTATCAGGCTTCAGTAACAAACGGGACTGGTGGGAGACCACCTTAGGATGACACACCCTGTGTATCTGTTGGGTGCAGCTCAGAACACGAATGCCGCACATATGAAACAGCTCATTTTCCCCAGCACCCTGGCCTCCAATTCCTCCTCTTCACATTTCCTGCCAAGGCACACAACTTCCTTAGCTCCACTGCCGCTCCTCAGTCCTGTAGGAATCTCGACTCCCACCGAAATCAACCCTTTCCTTTCGTTGCATAACAGCTGGCAGTTTCATCTTCAACCAGCATGCCTCCCTTCCCATAAAACAGCAGCCACGTGTGGATCCCTATGTCTATCTTATATCGGAATGAGAGAAGATTACATAGACTTCTATTGATCCACTCCTGGATAAGGCAGATCTCCCCAAAGTACTACAGGAAGAGAATTACTTGTCGGATTGGGGCCTCCACGCATCTGCTATCATAGAACATGATGTGCTGCTTCAACACCGGCTGGGCAAGGAAGTCGGTCCTTAGGGATGGTGAAGCCCTCCTGGCAGCCCTTGAAACTCGTGTTTCAGCCTACGCAAGGAAAACAAACCAAGGAATAAAACCTTACCATGTCAGAACAGGCTTTTCCAAACCAGAAAACGGGGGGGGGGGGGAACTACGCCCCATAAACGCAGAAGTAGACTTTTGCAGACTATGTGACCTCTTTTAACTGAAATACACAGGAGTTCTTCTTTAACATTTAACAGAGTTTTAGAAAATAAAGGTGAACAAGTGCATCTTTAGGTGGTGTCATTCAATGTTATGTCAGCACAGAGAAGGGACTTGTGCCTGTTTATATGACATGTTATTTGTTTCATAAATCAGGGTGTATGTGTGTGCTCTAGAGGAGGTTTTTACTGTTCAATTGCTCAGCCTGTTTATAGGATTTTCTGAGAGGGGAGCGTATGTCATCTTCCATGTACAACCCAGCCATGTGTTGTCATTACAGTGGTATCTCGCTAGACGACGACCTTGCAAAACGATGAATCCGCATGATGCTGAGGGATGACCTCGCAAAACGATGAATCTGCATGGCAATGAGGTTTTGCTTTCGCTATAGTGACAATGATTCCAATGGGTGATTTTCACTGGACGATATTTGGATCCCTGCTTCACAAACCATTTCTCGCAAGACGACAATTTTAACACTGATCGGTGCTTCACAAAACAGGTGTTTTCGGGACCGATGCTTCGCAGGGCAGCCATTTTAACAGCTGATTGGCGCTTTGCAAAATGGCTTCCCTATGGGTGATCTTCACAAAACGACCACGATTTTTCCCCACTGGAACGCATTAAACAGGTGTTGATGCATTGCAATGGGGAAACGGTTTTCGCAAGACAATGTTTTTGTTAAACAGCGATTTCTATGGAACGGATTATCATTGTCATGCGGGGCACCACTGTACTAATTTATCTATTTTCATTTCATTAAAAAAAAATCCACAGGGGAAAGGATGGCATAACTGCCATCTCTCTCTCTCTCTCTCTCTCTCTCTCTCTCTCTCTCTGTGTGTGTGTGTGTGTGTGTGTGTGTGTTTTCTGTGTCTGTGTCTGTGTCTCTGTGTGTGTTCTATGAATCTCTGGAATGAGAGAATAACCATTACCTCAACATCTGGACAGATTTCCCATGGTGTACCCAATGTCAGCACAAATTTTCCCCATTCTATTAGTCTGCACTGCAGACAGAACAAAAGTAAGGAGTTAGCTCAGCAAGCCCTGTCCATATAAAAATAGAATCAATGCCAAGTTGATATCAGGGGATCTTTGTTTAAGATTCCCATTTTTGGAAGCATCCTGGAAAAGGCCTAACATGTGAGGTACTCCTGCTTTCTGGAAAGGTCAGCTTGCTAAGAAAAGGCTATCTAGCCACCCATATTAAGCCCAGCAAACTAACACTTTCCAAATCTACTAAACCCATCAAAGACAATACATTTCTAGAATCTTAAAGAAGAGAATGAGGAGAATGCAATCAAAAGCTGTCCTTGGGAGCTAAGGTTTTCTAAACGTCTCAACCTCAGATTCACAAAGACCAGACACCTCTGAAAATGGACAGTTACAGAGAAGCAAAATTCCTGGTTCACCTAAGATGCTGAGGGAAGCAGTTGCGACATCTGGGTGCTTGTGTCTGTCCACACATAAACTGGGTCAACCAGCTCCTTCTGCTTCCTTCTTTTTGCCCAGGTCAGAGGAGGGGTAAAAGGATGCTCACTTGTCACTCTGAACTAAGGTGCTGCTTATTCCTTCTCATGGGGTGTGTGTGGAAAGGGCAAGAAGACACAGAAGAAAAACCTCTAGGCAATAGGCTTGCTCAGCAGGAACATACCCTTCCTAGTTATGGGAGGCAAAAATGAAATAGGGTGCAGGAGCATTACTGTGTCTTCCTCATTACCTTTGACAGAGGAGAAAATACCTACTCAGTTCATTCCCTCCCCCAACTCTTTCAACTTCTTTTCCCATTAAGCACCCTTCTTGTTCCTTTATGCAAGAAAGCAGCTTCTTTTGTCCGTATCTGCATAGGAAGGAAATAGGTTTGGCAATCCATTTTGTAATATTTTCGTAATACTCTACACATGAGTGCTGCTAAAAATAACAATGCATGTCTGGCTCGGGAGAAACAGCCTAGTGTAACAAACCTTACATAACACTTTTAGTAGTAGGATGTTAGTTATCAATTCCAGAAGAACAGAGTGAAAGTGCAACGCAACAAGAAGAGGAAACAATTGGTGGAATCCCACTGGCCCTTTTGAAGTGGACTGGTGTGGTCGAAATAGGGTTGTTTGAGGTCAGGGGGAAGAGCGATATGCTCAGCATGCCCTACCTATATCACAGTCTGGCTCTTTCCACTATCAATTGAACACTTCTCCTGCTACTCTACAGAGGAGCAGGGGAAATGACCATTTTTTTTGCCTGTGCTAAACCATAGCTGTTGCGCTGAATTGCTTAGATTAATTTTTTAAACAATTTGCTTTGCCTTGTGTGTAGTGAGATCGAGAAATTTAAATTCTGCAGAGGAGCAGGGGAAGTGTTTAAAAGGCTCTTTCCACTATCAATTGAACACTTCTCCTGCTACTCTACAGAGGAGCAGGGGAAATGACCATTTTTTTTGCCTGTGCTAAACCATAGCTGTTGCGCTGAATTGCTTAGATTAATTTTTTAAACAATTTGCTCTGCCTTGTGTGTAGTGAGATCGAGAAATTTAAATTCTGCAGAGGAGCAGGGGAAGTGTTTAACATTCCAATACAGTATCTTGAAGTGGCTCACTTATTAAGCCACTTCATGATACCAGAAGTTCAAACTGGAAGGAGCCTTGACAGCTTTGACAGTTGCAAGGCTCAATTTTAGTCCATTCCCAGTGATTGCTTGCATCAAAACATATGGAAGTACTACTACAGGACTCAAAAAAGTGAAGGGCGGGATGCACTGGGAGCAAATAGATCCGCTCTAGCAATTACAGTACATTGTGTGGTCACCAAAAAGAGAGTGATTCAATCCACCCCTGCAATGCACTGAACAGCAGACAAATGCCCATCTGAACAAGCCCAATCAATAATTATGAGCCAAAGAGCAGGTGTTTTTGTAAAGACTGTGTCTGGAACACAAGACTCTCTGGCAAAAACCCACTAAAGACCTTTAATGCTGCTGAAGCACTGCTGTTCCTCAATCAGCTAGAAGCAGAATTATGATGAAGGCGTTAAAATAATATTTAAACAGCAATGTTTAACACACAGTTTTGAATGTATGTGTGAATTAGTGTGTGCATGAAACACTAGATAGATAGATAGATAGATAGATAGATAGATAGATAGATAGATAGATAGATAGACAGACAGACAGACAGACAGACAGACAGACAGACAGACAGACAGACAGACAGACTGACTGACTGACTGACTGACTGACTGACTGACTGACTGACTGACTGACTGACTGACTGACTGACTGACTGACTGACTGACTGACTGACTGACTGACTGACTGACTGACTGACTGACTGACTGACTGACTGACTGACTGACTGACTGACTGACTGACTGACTGACTGACTGACTGACTGACTGACTGACTGACTGACTGACTGACTGACTGACTGACTGACTGACTGACTGACTGACTGACTGACTGACTGACTGACTGACTGACTGACTGACTGACTGACTGACTGACTGACTGACTGACTGACTGACTGACTGACTGACTGACTGACTGACTGACTGACTGACTGACTGACTGACTGACTGACTGACTGATTGATTGATTGATTGATTAATTGATTGATTGCTCAGTGAGCTGGGCACCTGACTGCAGAGACAGAGGCCAGGAGTTACATTTTCCACTAGATTGATTGATTGATTGATTGATTGATTGATTGATTGATTGATTGATTGATTGATTGATTAGTGAGCTGGGCACCTGACTGCAGAGCCAGAGGCCAGGAGTTAAATTTTCCACTCTGTCTCTTGGGAGAAAACCTTGGGCAAGCTGCAATCCCAGAAGAAAGGAATGGTAAAACAATTTTGAGTATTGCATGCCTAGAGAATCCTGGAAAGGGTTGCCATAATTCTCAATCAGCTTGGTGGCATACAATTAATTACATGTGTGCAAACATGGATGACTCACAGCGATCTGGTGGAGAGGAGTAACGTAGCGCATGTATATTTGTAGATGGATAATGAGCTGAGGAGGGAGGAAGAGATGGGGGTGAGCTAGCTGGCAGAGGAAAAATGAGTGGGCGGAGAGTTGAGCAGATAGAAATGGATTTGGGAGATGAATCTGGGTAAAACTGATTTGTAGGTGGTCTTTAACTGTGGAGAAAGATTGATTTTAGAGGAATCTATTGAACAATTATTAGGGAAATTAAATAGTTTAACTTCCATAAAATGGGAGTGCTTTGTACGTATTGGTATTTGGAGTTCAAATGCCTTGTCCTCTGTTGGTCCAGCAGGTTCTTGTCCTTTATGACTACTAGCCATGTCTCCACAGCTGTTAATTTGAGACTAATCACCCTCCCATGGCAGTAATTTTGTAGTAGTGCCTATTACAGATGTGCCCATGGACTCCAAGAACCACAGATGAATCAGCCAAAGTGGTAGGTTCCCTCTCACAGTGTCAGGATAAGTCCACCTATCCATACGCTCAAACCATGGATCACCAGTACCAAAAAGGTTACAGACCCAGGCTAGAACATGACATCTACAGGATGTATGAGTTGAGCATATGCAATGGGACTTGGGAAACAGATTTAATGAGCAAAAGTAGCCAGAAGAAAAGTTAGGAGCAAAGAAAGTCAAGCAAAACAGGTAATTAACGTAGATGTAGGGGGGGAAATCTATATATTATCTTGATGTACATTCCTACCACATGAAGGTTCATTTGAGCCCTACCTAACTGGCAGGATATATCTTTTGGTGTAGATGCATCCCTTCTTCTCCTCCATGACTACATATCTGTTACTACAGACGGATAGGTGTCACAGGCAAAGGGTGCAAAAAAAACCAAAATTGTCTGCTACTTCTGTGAAATCTCAGTATTTTCACCTAGAACTTCTCATCTTGGGAAAGCATAGCAAATTCAGATTTCCCTGGGATTGTACACATTCTTTCAGTTGTTCTCCCTGTATCTGTATGCTAGAAGCCAACTCTGCCAAAAACCAGCCCACTTACGTTTCACATTATCTCGAGGGGAGGAATGTAATGAAGTATTCCTGTCCATTTTCATAGGCCATTTTATCAGATGGCCAAACCAAACAGGCTGATTTTTTGTAGCTGGTTATTTCTAAATGTTTGGTCTTGGTCAGAAGCAGATTTTAGAAATCACCTGTAATTAGAGCTGAAAGCACCATTAATATTGCAGAGGCATCCTCCTCTTGTTTGTGAAACAAGACTTTGAAGGAATCTTGTGCTTAAAGCTTGAAGACCAGGGACCAAATAAAGCAAGCTAATTGGCACAATCTCAGAGGGAGAGCCGTTCATGCCATCACACTCAAATGCTCACATTCGTTAAGAACCCCCTCTTCTAGGCACAGGCAATCCCCGACGTCTGTTTCTGGTCTCACATTCTCAGAGGAATGAGAGCAGGCCGACACAAGGCCCTTGCTTGCTGGCCCTGACTCTTTTAAAACCATTGCGTAGCTGGAGAGGCTTGCGGCAGCTTTTTCCCAAACCAGTTACAGAACAAGAATTTTTTGCAGTGCCTGGTGAAATATGATGGAGTTGTGGGCAGAAGCACCCTTAAACGCCTGCTAGTGTGTTCTCTTCATAAGTCCCACCATTACCTCTCTTGGAAGAGTGAAGGATGGGTGGAAGGGTCGTGGCTGTGCAAGAGTCAGAACCCGCTGGGAAGGATTGCAACAAAGTGCCGGATAGCTGACAGGCCACTGCGGGGAGCTTCGCGGTCTGCAAACAAACACAAGCAATGCACCATTAGCCAGTTTCAGAACTTTTCCCCTTAGAAATACATTATTGCTCTTTAAGTACCACCAGATTACCTGAGCTACAGTTTAGAGATGTCAGTAGCAACTCCAGAATCTAGAAAATGTATCCAATGAAGAGGACTGCAATGCATGAACACTTACACCACAGTGTCTTTATGGTACAGTAAGATTTGTTTTTATGGCAACATGGCTACCTCTTTGGAAACAATATAAGGTATATCTATACATAATATGCACAAAGCATGCTGCTTGCATACTGCCCCACAGTACTTAAAGCACTCTCTGGGCGGTTTACAATTTAATTAATTTAACACTGCTCCCTCCACCAGCAAGCGGGGTACTCAATTTACCAACGGAGAAGGATGGACGGCAGAGTGAACCTTAAACTGGCTACCTGGGACAGAACTTTGGATTGTGAGCAAAGTTTTGGCTACAGTACAGCAGCTTCAGACCAGTTTAAGCACTGTTGAGATCAAAACTTTACCCCTCAAAACTTATTCACCAGATCATTAGGAGGTTTCCAGGACATGTGTTATTCCAGAAAACATGTTAGCCTACTGCTAGGTGGGGCCTGGTTTTGGAAGAAACGTGCCTACTAGTCTCATGCTGTGAAATAAGCTAAGGAACTACACAGGCACATACGTCTGTGAAGAACAGAAAGCTATGTGGCTGTTGATACAAGAAGCAGAAACTGAGATGGCACTGTATGTGACAACATCCTTATTTTCCCCGTCACAAGATGGCTGTTGATACAAGAAGCAGAAACTGAGGTGGCACTGTATGCGACAACATGGTTATTTTCCCCGTCACAAGACTTTTCCTCAATGACTGACATCAACTCCTCCAAATGGGCTTCGTACCCATCTGCCATCTTTTTGGTCTTCTTGCCAAATGTGGACAAGGCAGTGTTATAAACAGCATTCTTGAAATGTTCCCATGGTTCAGGTGCATTTGCATCAGCCGGGCCCAGAAGAGTTTCCTCAAGCATTTAAGCAAATTCCTCCTCTTTTCTCTGATTGTGAGTCTTGCTGATGCCAATATGTGGTCTTCTTTCCTTTTTCGTATGATACAATCTCTTTATTCGCAGTTTTACTCTGCTACATACCAGGGAGTGATCAGTATTGCAATCAGCACCCTGATAACTGTGTGTGATCGTAGTACTAAGAAAGCTAGAGCATCTAGCAAGGATCAGATCAAGCTGATGCCAATGCTTCGATCTTGGATGTCTCCAAGAGATTCTGCATTGAAGCTTCATATTAAAGAATGTGTTGCTGACACAAAGACCATAATAACAGCAAAACTCTAGCAAACGTTGGCGATTTTTGTTCATCTTCCCAATGCCAAACCAGCCTAGACAAGTGGGCTGAGAATTGTGATCAGCACCAAGTCTAGTGTTGAAATCTCCGAGAATGAACAATGGGTTGTTCTCAAGGATTTTTTTTTATAGTAGCTGCCAGGTAGTCATAGAATTTGTCTTTGACTTCTGCTGTAGATGACAGTGTTGGTGCATATGCACTAATAAGGATGCCAGTCCTGCTGGTGAGTGGAGCTGCAGAGACAGGATTCTTTCACTCCCCACAGTAGGTGGAACAACGGATCCCAGCAGAGTATTTCTAACCACAAAGCCAGCACCATATTCTGTTGGCTCATTCAATGGTTTTCCCTGCCAGAAGAATGAGAAATTTCTTTCTTTGACAGATACCAAGTCTGGCAAGCTCATCTCTTGCAGGGCAACAATGTCCGTCTGCAGCCTACTCAGTTCCATATCGATGACAGCTGTCTTGCATGTGTTGTCTATTTCCTGCAGGTAGTCAGAAAAGCCAGGGGTCATTGTCCAAACATTCCAGGTGCCCAGCTTTAGGGCAGAATTTTTCTTATGATTTTTGCATGGTGCAGGGTTATTGATCTGCTTGTTAGCTTTCACCCTAAATCCCACACACCCTATGAGATTAACAGACTGTGACAAGGCAGCACCTTACTGGCTGCAGGCTGCCCATCTCAAGGTGGTCAGTAGTTACCTAGTGAGGTGCAATGACCTCTCACACCATTGGAAGTAACCCCTGGTGTCGCGCTCTACGCCAATTGAACAAAGACCTATAACCGGTAACTGCTACATCCCGAGTTATTTCGACGTTGTATGCAAAGCTGGAGTGTCCTCTCCAGAGCCTGGGTAAAATAATATGGAGGACAGACTATTACCCAGGCAGCAAATCCCCCCTCTCCACATCACTGAAATAGTCCAATGGAAAGGCAAGAGCTAATACAACTGGTTCCAGCAACGTCACAAGAGTTGCCAGAACAACACAAACTGCCTCCGGGACTCCATCTCCGGATTTTGCCTCAAGGTTTACTCTTGAAGCCTTTTCATTTCATATTCATTTCCTTGACCCGTCCAGAGAGTTGAGCATTTGTCAATATCCTGAAGTGGCTCTCTTGCAGGTCAGGCACGACGTGTTTATGGTTTCTCACTGAAAGTGCATGCACCCCATTTGCAAGTCTGATTGCTGACAGACTTCTTTCTAAGGAAACTTCATTGTGGGAAGAAGAACAGGCTCACTGCTGGGAAGACACCTTTCCTTGAACGTCTGGTTTGACCCTTGGTTTCCTAGGCCAGAATCTGGTTGTCCTATTCCACACATGCAATGCTCCATGGCCCAGATAATGGGGCTTTTTTTGGGAGCTTGCATGACAAGGTGTCCAATATTTCCTTACACAAGCATCTGTCCAGCCAAACACAATGGGAGCAATCTCCGGCAAGCGGGAGAGAGCAGAAAACTGTGGGCGGATCTTTATGCTCCACTCATTTTCGACAGAGCACTAGTCCACGTCACCGTCAGAAAGCTGCAAAATGTTTCTGGTTACAAAACAGACCCTGCCAAAGGAGTCCTTAGTAATCCAGCTAACTCTAGTCCAGTTTATATACATTATTAAGCCCAGAATTTAATTAGTACTATGTGGCACAGCTAGTGACCAAGACCAAATGGGCTAGAAATGGCTTACTGAACTGTCTTTACAGAGCTCATCACTTATATCAATTATGCTAAGTCACCTATATCTTTAGCACTAGACAAAAGCGCTGTTTGTCTGTGTCAACATTCCAAAGGCCACACAAGTGGAAGTGCTCTGCAACCCTGATGTCAGTTTACTTATCTGTAAATCGCCCTAAATCATGATGCTGGATGACCCTCTGTGAGTCGAAGCAGAGCTTTGAGCCTATGGGCTCCCCTTCCTTCTCGCTGCCAATCCCATTTGGAGTTATGGATTTTTCAGAAGGACACCAGCGAGTTCTGCACTCAAAGCCCAACAGAGGAGGGGGCAGAGTAAGTGGTGCAAGGGATGGGTTTCCACTTATACCTTTAGATAGTTCCATCTTCTTAAAGCCAATCCCCTTCTCATTTTTCCCATGACGTTTTTTTAAAAAATCCCTCTCCTTCTTTATGCTTCCCCCTCCCCTTGTTTTTGTTTTTGTTTTTGTTTTTGTTTTGTTTTTTAGTTACAGCTGTGGGAACATGAAATTAAAAAATGGAAAGAGGGCAAGCTCAGCCCAATATGATCTTGAACAGAAGTCTTCTATCTTGCCAGGTTCAGGCTCAGAGCCCATTTTAAAACTACATCTTAACACCATACCCTTCTATGTTCCAGGTCTCTCTTGGTGAACTCATGGCCGGTGGGATCTAGTTTGTTTCTTTAAAGGTTTGCATACAAGGAGAAGCAGCTCGTCATGCAGAAAGATGGTTGAAATTCTCTTCTAGAGTCCGGGGTCAAAAACATGAGAGTCTCACCTTTGCTTCAGGTAGGTAGCTAAGTACTGCTGCCTTGGTTCTGCTAGCTGTAGTATTCTTTTGGAAGGCGTGACTGAATACAGTTCATGGGGGCGTTCCCAGATCTCAGACTCCCGACCGCAGCTGTACACGAAAAGGGGCCTTTGGAGATACAAAAATGTATCAATACAGACAACACAGGATTAACAGTATGAACTCAAAAGGAAAGTCTGAAATATGAAATGTGCACGTCACCTTACCACATGCACTTTGACTGAGAATTCTTAGAACTACAAAACCCCAGAACCAGAAAGACCCAAAGGGACATTTAATCCAACCCCCTGCAAATGCAGCAATAGTCATCTTCATGATGAACATGGACAGTTGCAATCAGCCCAGCGTTCTCCATAACTTCCAAGGTAGGTAAAAGAGATGCATTGGAAAAAAGAAGGACTGTTAAGTTTATTTGCTTCAAAACGATAATAAAGCTCTTTTTTCAAAATGTTTAAAAGACAATCTTAAGAGAAGACAAACAAGTTTAATTACAAATCTCTCTGAAATAAGTGGTTGCCATTTACCTAACCCTAATTGGAAGGTTGCTCAAATGTAAAACCAAAGGAGTTAGTGGCTGAAATCTTATTGGATATCTATGGCATGCAAGAGGAACTTAGGAAGTTTCCACAGCTAATTGGAAAAGGTGCCAGACAAAATCCTTGAAACCGCAGAAATGGACACACTATCAGATTGGCTAGATGGAAAAAAGAAAAAAGACCATCGGAAAAGTGGGTCACAATTATATACATGGTTACAAAGGTAGATAGAATAATGGACTGATACATAGCTATCTGTATGGCTGCAGAAGAGACAGAATAAATAATGGATAAAGACTATCAGCTACATAATCAATAATTATAATAACAATATATCCGTCTGAATTTGATTTTTCCCTCCCGCTCACTGTTTATATTTCTTTCTGATATGTGGAACTATTACTAGAAGAGAATGTATAGAATTACTATGAAAAATATTGATTTCTAATGTATCTGTTCAAATCCACCCCCAAGGAGGGCACCCCTATCCCAGCTGCCCTTTACCTTACCCCACCTTTATAAGGAAAATAAAAAATTAAAATTAAAATAAAAAAAGGGAAAAAGGTGCCAAACAGGTTCCAAGGCATGATGATAAGTGAGCCATGTGACTGACATGAGAATGGCATCTTGTGAATAAGCCACAGCAGTGGCTTCAGTTCCTTTCGTGCATGCAAATATCCACTAAGTTTCTGGCATAGATACAAATAAACCCGCAGAGCTCTATGTGAGGAGAAGAGGGAGGGAAACACAAAACCCCAAATTCTTTAGAGTCTGTTCATATAAAACTCATGGAATCCCAGTCCATGGTTCAACCTTTTGCCTAAACAACCATGGGGGGGGGCGGGAATATCTGACTTTTAAGGTTAAACACAATGCATGATCCAATTAAGTCAGGGATTAGATGTGTATTATCATGAGCTTCCGACTGCACCCAGGAACCAGCAAGTCATCACAGGTATTAGAATCCAGGAACCGGCATCCTATATTTCACCAGGCACATACAACACACCCATATGGAAGATCTTATGTTCCTGTTGTTGTATGCCCTCCAGCTGCTTAGACTCTGCAAAGAACTGAAGTGCATGCATTTGAGCCGCTACCAAACATGCCCAGTAACTATTTTTTTTCTCCTTCTGAAAACTTGCCTACATACACAAAGAGCCAGGCTTGATCCTCTAGCTGTTACCATACATTCTCTGCAGTCTCCTTGGAACACTGCAGGCACATTGCCATGGGTTATAACACTGATTTGTACTCTGTTCAAATGCTTAGATACCCTGAGATTTACATAATAACTCTGCTTCCAGCCATAAATGCTGAGGGATCTAAGGAGAAAATTCAAGGCAGAGGACTCACATAATACAGAGTTGCAAATCTTTCCAGAAATTGTTACACTGTGCTTTATATGTCCGTGGGTACTCAGAAGGGTTTGGAATTCAAATTAAAACATCCTACCATTCCAGTACAAGCAGCTGCTGGATTTCAGGACTCACATAATACAGAGTTGCAAATCTTTCCAGAAATTGTTACACTGTGCTTTATATGTCCGTCAGTACTCAGAAGGGTTTGGAATTCAAATTAAAACATCCTACCATTCCAGTACAAGCAGCTGCTGGATTTCATGACTCAGACCTTTTGGCAACCAAGAGGAACACTATCCCCTTTTCACCAATTATGATATTGCCTGCTAGTAGCCAAACAAAAAAAATAAGCTTAATGTTGAACACATCTATTTTTTTACTTACACTATTACAAGTAATGAACATGGACTTTTCTCCAGTTCATCTAAAAACACCTTTCTAAAACCTGAAAGCCCAAACTAATGCTGGTATGAATGGGATGCCAACATTTGGGGGCAAGCCATCCCTACCATCTTATTAGGGTATATCTAAATTGCACTTACAGTGAGTTAATTTTATGAAATCCTTTTCCAGTAACAAAGATACAGCTACATTACATGTGTAACTTAACAAGGGAAAACTTCACTCCTTTTATGGTATTAGGGTATATCTAAATTGCACTTACAGAGAGTTACTTTTATGAAATCCTTTTCCAGTAACAAAGCATTACATTTGTAACTTAACAAGGGGAAACTTCACTCCTTTTATGGTGCGGCTGCTAACTTTCTGAGTTCTTTTATAGTTATCAGGGTGTGGCCTCACTAGACGATGGGAAAGGATTATCACATGGCCGAAGTTCTGGTTTGTGTTCTGCCTCAAGCTGCTGAAGGAAAAAAACATTTGGATGTGCGTGTTTTTAAAATTAGTGGTAACTGTTTTAATCACTTTTCCAGACATTGCAAATATAACAATAAATTTGAGGTAGGGGCCTGGAAATATAACTAATGACTGGATTCCTTTAAAAAGTCACTTTCTAAGCTCTGCTAGCAGTAAGAGGCCTTCATCTGGAAGCACTGTCCCTCCTCACACAAGAGAAACTGCATAGAATAACACAAACATGGCGTGGGGAGAGAGCACGGTTGCATCAAGCAGACTATCATCCCTTCACAGAGTGGGGATCTCTGCTAAAATAATATGCATATGCTGGCAGGATAGTCCTCCTCTGTGTCATCACTACACTGAGTCAGAGAGAGGTTTCCTATCTCTCCTCAGAAATGCACTCCCTCAAGACGTGGCTCCTTGACATGGCACCGGCTCTTGTGGCTGAAGAAGAGAGACCTCCCATGGATGGAAATCTCAGCCATCGTGAAATCTCAGGGCTAATGACGTTTTTGCCCAGCTCCTGTTTTGTTACTCATGCGCATGTGCATGTAATATGCACACACACACACACATACAGAGAGAGGGGGGGGAGATACAACATGCTAAGGAAGGGACAGTGGTCTATTTACATATTTACCTCATTATGTCCTCTCTATCTTGTCAAAAAGTAAATCTGTACCGTGTGAGAGCCAATGTTGTGTATTGATTAGAGGGTTGGACTGGAGTTTCTAGCTTAAAACCCAGTGCACACAAAACTCACAAGGTACCTGCCCAAGGTTGGGGACCACTGGATTAGAGGGTTGGACTGGAGATCCTAGCTTAAAACCCAGTGCACACAAAACTCACAAGGTACCTATGGAATACAATTTTCATTTCTCTCTTTCTCTGTGCTTGATCTACCTCAAAGGGTTAGCATGAGAAGATAGTAAAGAGGAGGAAAGCCATGCATGCTAGCTTGAACTCAGTGGAAGGAAAATTAGGCAAACCAATCAATCCATTTGCTTCCACCGATCAAACATGAATCAAGCAGTCTGGTCCAGTAACCCACCTAATAATTTGTTTATTTATTTGTTTGATTTCTATGCTGCCGAGCTAACCAATGGCCACCCCCTCTGGGCAGTTTACATAATGAAAACAACCAAATTAAAGACATAAAATTAATTAAATAAATTAAACAATGTTAAATAATCTAAAATCAAAATGCAATGATCTGTGTTAACCTTTCCATTCAAGGGCCTCTCTACTGTGAGCATCAGTAAAGTTGGCACTCACTAGACTGGATAGGAATTGGAAGGAGGTCTGATCCTGTACCAACCATTAAACTCCCCAGTGCAGAAAGAGACAAGGCTGCCGCTGGCCGTTCTGCCTGTTCCTTCCCCAACCCTGTTGACCCTTTCCTTCACCTGGTGGGTGGGTGTTTCTAGGATTCTGCCTGCCATGCCAGGAAGAGGAAAGTGAGGTAGATCTGAATGAGAACGGAGGGGAAAGGCTCGAAATGGCCTTGTTCCCTAACACATCAGGTGATGTAAAAAGCCTTTAATCCCTAGGTTGCAAGCTGGCAACCTTTAAATGCTTGATTAAAAAAAAAATAAATATAAACTCCCATGCCAAACATGAATGGCATTCGACAGACGTAATCCTTGATTTTATTTATTTATTTAATAAAGCCCTAGAGAGCATGGTGAGCTGCCACCAGTCAGGAAGGTCCAGAAATTTTGTCACACCTCAAAGACGAAAAAGTTCTGATGGGCATCGGCTTTTAGAGACTGCAGGCCAGGGAAGCTGATGCCAAATAAGGTTTGCTGGCGATGAAGGTACCACAAGGCTCCTTACTGTTTTTGCTTCAACAGAGTAACGACGGACACCCCTCTAAAAATGTCTACCATGGTCAAGTAACATGGACTTTGGGCTGGTTACTTAGATAGACTTTGGGAACTCTGCCAATCAATTCAAGGAGGGCATGGGCCACACCTCATTGGGGGAATCCCGTAGCAGGCGGTCACAGGTTCCACCTTGGCCATCTCTGGGCAGGGTTAGGAAAGAATCCTGCCTGAAACTGTGAAGAGCCACTGCCAGTGAGGGTCACCAATACTAGGGTAGATAGGCTGACATCTAAATCAGGGTAAGAGAGATTCCAGTGTTCTTTTGAGAGGCAAAGACATAAAGACAAACCTGGGCTGGAGAGGTCTGTCTGGTCTGGTCTTGGGTTTTGCCAGAGTCAGGATCCTTGGACTTGGTTGACTTAACAGAGCACGCGAGGAGACGGGCCGTATGGTCTCTTGATTTCCCGAGACTAACTTGCTATTGTAAACAAGAGAACACAAATGATGCAACTGGCATTTATCTATTGCTACGTACTTCCTACCCCACACTGGAAGAGATCTGAGGTAGATAACCCGGCGAATTAACAGCCATTTTAACTTGTGATCGGACAAAAACAGCTGAGCCAAAGCAATTTTTAAAAATAATTTCAAAGGGAAAAAGGCAAGACCAGAATCCAAGTCTTATGGCTCAAGTGCCTGATAAAAGGAAGCCATTTTTATGAGGCAGCAGAAGACGGAACAAGATGGAACAAAAGGTAAGCTTCTAAGAATAAAGGTATGTCAAAACCTGAGCAGGGAAGCACTGCTCTGACTGCATTAGGTATCCATTCTAAGCTCCAGCCAGTGCTGGGGGGAGAAAGAGGGTGGGTCAGAATCAGATGGAGGGATGTAGCCCTTCAAGTACCCGGAACCTTTAAAAAAAAAGACATTAAGGCTTGAATAATGGTAGCCACACTTTGAATCTAGCCTTTGGAACCCACCTGAGACCACTCAAGGTTAAAGCAGCAGAAAAGTTGAATAATGGTAGCCACACTTTGAATCTGGCCTTTGGAACCCACCTGAGACCACTTAAGGTTAAAGCAGCAGAAAAGTCATATGATGCAAAAAACTGATACCAGTTGAGATTCTGTTTTACACCAGTTGGGAATTTCTCCACCATCAACAAAGGCATCTCCCACAGATCACAGGGAAATAATTTAATCGGGGTAAGTAGCATGGGTGACGGGTAACAATGACATTTCACAGTGAGCCCTCCAAGTACAGTATTAATAAAAGATTGATGCTTCAGGATGGCTGGCAGCCATTTTCGCACCCTCCCCTCGCTTTACAAGGGTGCGAAAACGCTGCGCACGGCCATTTTGGGGCTTCTGGTGGCCATTTTGTAGCTGCCGAACAGCTGATCGGCGGGTCGCAAAGCGAAGGTCGGTAAGCAAACCGCTTACTGCCCTTCACTCTGCGATTTTCGCCCTATGCAGGCACCGTTTTGCAATCGCATTTGCGATCGCAAAACCGGCCTCGTAGAGCGAATTCATCGCTCTATAAGGCACCCATTGTGCAAGGCACCACTGTAATGCAAAAAATTGATACCAGTTGAGATTCTGTTTTACACCAGTTGGGAATTTCTCCACCATCAACAAAGGCACCTCCCACAGATCACAGGGAAATAATTTAATCGGGGTAAGTAGCATGGGTGACGGGTAACAATGACATTTCACAGTGAGCCCTCCAAGTACAGTATTAATAAAAGATTAAGCACAGTTCTCTATATGCTTCTTAATGAGCAATTTAATTGAAGTGGCCTTGAAGATATACTGAGGAGGCCTTGCTCCTAAGGTCACACAGGCTGGCTCTTCTGAGATCACAGTGGAGAATCAAACTCCCAATCTCCAGCTTCTCAGCCAGATACCTAACTCACTGAGCTATTCAGCTACCCACAACTCCTATAAAGTCCCCCAAATCGCAAATCACACTCTTGGGGACATGATTTGCTATTTAAATGCCATCTTGCTCTATAAGGCACCCATTGTGCAAGGCACCACTGTAATGCAAAAAATTGATACCAGTTGAGATTCTGTTTTACACCAGTTGGGAATTTCTCCACCATCAACAAAGGCATCTCCCACAGATCACAGGGAAATAATTTAATCAGGGTAAGTAGCATGGGTGACAGGCAACAATAATATTTCACAGTGAGCCCTCCAAGTATTAATAAAAGATAAAGCACAGTTCTCTATATGCTTCTTAATGAGCAATTTAATTGAAGTGGCCTTGAAGATATACTGAGGAGGCCTTGCTCCTAAGGTCACACAGGCTGGCTCTTCTGAGATCACAGTGGAGAATCAAACTCCCAATCTCCAGCTTCTCAGCCAGATACCTAACTCACTGAGCTATTCAGCTACCCACAACTCCTATAAAGTCCCCCAAATCGCAAATCACACTCTTGGGGACATGATTTGCTATTTAAATGCCATCTTCCCCCTGCCTTTTTAAGAACAGAAAAAGACAAGAAAGAAAGAAAGAAAGAAAGAAAGAAAGAAAGAAAGAAAGAAAGAAAGAAAGAAAGAACGAACGAACGAACGAACGATCCAGCTAATCTAATATGTGAAGCTAAGTGACACAATTAGATCATTCATGTGAAGTGTTCTGAATTATACAAAGACTCAAAGTATTCGTATTACAGTTCACAACATTTACTAAGATGCACAACCTTACCGAGAAAAGTTCCATACATCTTTTACCTCCTTTGGCTTTGCAAGTTCTTTGAGTCTGAAAATAAAATAAAAATTAAATGTGCATATATGCATATAACTTGGATTGACTGTGACTCCACGTCAAATGTATATAGTACTAGGAGGCAAAATCCAGGTTTGCTCTTGTTCAATGTGTGAAATTACCCTGAAAGCCAATTAAGGAGCTAAGCCCTTCCCTGTATTTCTTTTTTTCCCCTTCTGATCTGTCTTGGGTGCACCAACAGGGCACCGATGAGATGACAACAGACTGTTACGTTCATTTGGTAGAAAATCCCAGGTAATGGATTTAGCTAATTACACTTAAATCCAAATGTAATTCCCTCATGTACAAAATTTGCTCTGGGGCAAAAGCTTCATTTGAGAGGCACCTGGAACTACAAGCCTTTTCAGCAGGTCTGGACATGTTCAAATACAGAACACTTTTTACAAGCCAACAGCCTCCCACCCAAGTTAAGTTTATGAAAATATTTTCTTGGCAAACAAGAGTATGAGGGAAGGGAAACAGGATCTCAAGACACAAAAGGTAGAGGCAGGGGAAACGAGCAAGCAAGCTCTATATTCTCCTCTCCTCTTTTAAGTAGTTCAGAGTAAGTGAAGTGCTACTTGGCTTAGATGTGAGGGGTCTGTGTATGTGTCTGATGAATTGTAATGTGGAAGTAAGCATCGCTTAGGTTGACAACAGTAAACTAGCTGCCTTCTTGAAGAATGGGTAGTATGCGCTCTAGCGTGACCATAAGGAAACGTCTCTCAACAATGTAGAAACTGAGGTCTCAAAGGTCGAGGATGGGTCAGAGACCTCCGTATCACTTTGCAACAGTAAAGTACTGGGAGTAAAATCCTGATCATCATCTGACGGGACAACAGGAGTGATGGAGTCCTTTAGCATTAGAGACTGAATTTCCTGTTGTAGTATAATTGATGGAGTAGTAAGGATCATTCTCGATGGTGGTAGAAGAGAGAATTTAATTGCATACGCCACGCCAATGATGGAGAGGACCCAAGAATTGGTAGGGATAGATGCCCAGGTTGGAAAATGGGCTGTGAGATGTGTGGTGGTGAATGAGAAAATGAGAGGTTGGGAGGTGGGTGGCTCTGGGCAGTGGGAAAGCCAAAGATTCTGCTTTTGTTTCTTATCAGGTCATCTGAAAGACTGTCAAGGGTGCTGTCATTGGTTGTTGTGATGAGGCTAGAAAGATGAAGAAGATGCCTATCCATAGGCTGTCTGTAGGGGAAGGAGCAACACCATTGGTACCGCTGGAGTCTGTAGTATGATTGCGTATTGTAAGAGTGAGCGGTCTTCCTCATCTTTTGTGTAGGTTGTTAAGAATCTCATCGGTCTTGTTATCGAAGAAGCCCTCACCATTGAATGGTAAGTCCTCAACGTACAGACAAGAGTCCTCTGAAATATGGGCAGATCAAAGCCATGCATGTCTGTTGAGTGCGATGGCAGTGGCCATATGTTTAGAAGCAGCTTTGGTGACATGACACGCTGTGATTCATTCTTGACAGGCTAACGTCATGGCTTCTTGATGGAAAGTGAGGCAATGGGCCTTGTATTCATCAGGTGCAGACTGGAGTACTGGTACAGCTTTGTTCCAGAGATGCCGATGATATGCTCCCGTAGCAGCTAGATAGTTGGCAGCTCGAAGGGTGAAGGAAGCTAACAAATAGACTCTTCTACCAATGATGTCACGTTTTATACCCTCTCGGTTATTAGGAGTAGCATTAGAGCGATTACGAGGTCTACTTTGTGTAGCATCAACTATGACTGAATTGGAACGTGGATGTTTGGAGAGAAAGTCTCTGCATGTCTTGTATAAATTCTCAATATGTCTGGACATCTGTGGTACTGAAGAGGGTTTAGACCATGATTGTTTAATGAGCTCGAGGAGAGAAGGAATAAACCACATACAAAATGGTGGGGTTGGTTCTGGTGAAAGTCCTCATAAACTTTGTCTGATTCTGTTGGTACTGACTGTTGAACATCCAGGTCCATCACCTTTGCTATGTAGAGAATGAGTTGTGTGTTGGAAGAGAAGTCCTCAGATGGAGACGGTGGATTGGTATCAGCTACGTCAGGTATTGGAGAAGTAGAAGGCATGTCTGTAGAAACTGTTCTGGGAGCTTGGGGAACCGAAGCGGGTTCCATTGAAGGTGGTGACGGTTGAAGGGAGCATTCCCAGAGAAAGGATCTGAGGCGCTGCTCCCTGACTTTGAGGGCCTGCTTGGTGAGTTTTCTACAAGCCTGACAGGAAGAAGGTCGGTGCGATTCTCCCAGACAAAAAAGACAGGAATCATGTCAGTCGGAAAGGGGGATCTTGTTAGGGCACGAGGTGCACCATTTGAATGGCCCTGTGGGGGCCCATAAAATGGCGGGAAGGGGAAGGGAAGGAGAAGAAGAAGAGAAGGCAGTCAGGAGAGGGAGAAACAACTCGAAAGTCTTTTACTATATTCCCTCTGTAACTTTTTGTTTTAGTAAGAATCGAAAGCAAGGTGAACGGAGAGCTCGTCGAGAGAGGAAACCTCAGAGGTGGCAAAAAGGAACTGAGGCAATTGCCAGGATGGGCGGACCATGTGTACTAGGGTGGGCATTCCTGGCGAACCCATGATAAAGCTCTAGAACATTCTGGAAACCTCTGTGCAAGAGCAGACTAACCCTATAGCGTGCACTCAAAGAGACCACGAAGAAGAATGATTTGTTTCAAATGTGGTGCTGGAGGAGAGCTTTACTGGTACCCTGAACTGCCAGAAAGACAAACAAGTGAGTCTTAGATCAAACCGAGCCTGAACTATATCTCTGGAGGTAAAAATGCTGCAACTGAAGCTATCCTACTTTGGGCACATCGTGAGAAGGCAGGATTCTTTGGAAAAGATAATAATGGTGGTAAACTTTGAAGACAGCAGGATTAGTTGTTAAACTGGTTTTAAACCACTTTAGTTTTATCTTGGGTTTGTTTTGTTTATTACTGTAAATCTCCCAGAGTTGTGCTTCGGCACTAATGGGAGTAGTATACAAATTTAATTAACCAACCAACCAACAAACAAATAAAGGAGGAAGACCAACAACAACAACAAAAACAGTCCAGTGGCTTTAGTCTGCCTATCTTTAGGCCACAAGAAATGACACTGTACACCCTCATTCTCAGTTGGGACTGAAAAGATCTCTGAGGCCTGTTTAAGAGTAGACAATGTCAGGTATTGAGCACAGTACTGGTGTGAGGCCCAACTATACATCATGAGGGTCTCAAGGGGTGCTTCCTACTGTCTGTTTTCCTCTAATGAGTTTGCAGGTGACCAATATATTGTTTCTGTCTGCCAGACATCCTAAAACCAGACATCAAATAGGTGGTGATCCTTGTACTGGTTGCTCAGATATACTAATAATACAAATGTGAAAAAGATTAATCAGAGTTTCATAGGGCTGGCACTGCTAGGTGATTCGTGCGTGTGTGTGTCTGGGAGCCAATTCCCCATCCCCAGGACCCCCCTGGTCTGCAACCTCCATTGCTGGAGAGCCAGAACTGAGTGACAGATTTCCAAACCCCCAAAAAACCTTTAAAAGAGATAGAAAATATTTGTTTTAATGGGATTTCCTTTTTGCTGCTGAATTTCAGTGACAATTTCTACGTTGGCTTGGGCATGTTGTGAGAATAGCTGACGGTCGGATTCCAAAAGATGGAGACCACAGCTATGATACAAGGATATTTGCAAGCAGGATCTGAAGGCCTTAGGAATGGGCCTCAACAGATGGGAAACTTTGACATCTGAGCATTCAGCCTGGAGGCAGGCGGTGCATCACGGCCTCTTCCAATTTGAAGAGACCCTTGTCCAGCAGGCCGAGGCAAAGAGGCAGTCCCGAAAGCAGCAAAATCAGGGAGCTGGGAAGTGTGAATTCACAGATGACCACTCGAAGAACCAAAGTTACAGTACATAACCTCTCTTTCTTCTTCGTGGTCTCTGTGAATGCACACTAATGGGTGATTAGCAAGCTTACCTGTCCGGAGGAGGGATGTCACAGAAGAACAACTGACAAAACCTCTCGTCCAAATGCAGCATCTGACTTTGCCCATAAATCCAAATGGTAATTCAAGGCAAAGGTGGACAGTGTGGACCATGTGGCAGCTCTTCAGGTAACAGGGACAGAAACACCCTTGAGGAAAGCTGTAGAAGTGGCTACTGCCCTTGTAGAATGAGCCTTAATTACAGCAGGAAGAGGCTTGCTCGCCAATTGATACGCAAGGCATATAGTTAGTTGCCACTATCCATTTAGAGATAGTTTGGGCAGAAATAAGAGATCTTCTATGCAGTAAGTGTGTAGAAAGAAACAGTCTCTTGGATTTGCTGAAAGACACAGATCTTGAGACATAAAAAGCCAGTGCTCTCCTAACATCCAGAAGGTGGAGAGAGCGTTCCAGATCAGAGGTAGGCGATGGAAAAAAGGTAGGTAAGGTTGACGAAGGTGGAAATCTGAGACAACCTTAGGGAGGAAAGACACATCAGGGTAAAGGGTGACTTTATCTGGGTGAAATTGAAGGAAGGGAGGATCAATGCGAAGAGCAGTGATCTCTGAAGCTCTGCAAATGGAGGTGATGGTGACAAGGAAGAGGGTCTTAAGCATAAGAAGGCAGTCAGAAGTCATAGCCATAGGCTCAAATGGTGGTAGCAGGCAAGAAACTGGCTGGTGGTCCTTGCTGAGACAGAAGAGAAAAGAGACGTGGCCGTCCGTCAGAGGAATTTTACTGGGGAACGAAGTGCACCTTTTGAAAGGCCCAGAGAAGACCATAAACTATGAAAAAGGGATGAGTGAAAACAGGGGGAAAAGGGGGGAAGGGAGCAGTGGAGAGGAGAAAAAAGCACAAAGTATCTCACAAATTCCTTTTGAACGCCATAGCGAGTGGAGCTTGTCGAAGAGAAGAAACCTCAGTGGCGGCAAAAAGGAACTGAGGCACTTGCCAGGATGGGCGGACCATGTGTACTAGGGTGGGCATTCCTGGCGAACCCATGATAAAGCTCTAG